TTTTTAATTAAAAAAAGAGCTTTAATGTATGCAAAATATTTATATACGTGTTTCGTTTTGTTTGTTTGTTTTTTTTGTTAAACTCTTAGCTGTTTACGCAAGTGTAAAAAAAAAAAAGAAAAATATAAAATAAAAAATGTATTAAAAATGTAAATTGTATATCAGTTTGGCACGTTTTGCAAATGCTGTTATACGTAAGAGATAACTGAACAGATAAACAACGGCATGCATATTCTTTGTGTGTCCCCTTTATCTGTTTCTTCTTGGCAAAAAAAAAAAAAAAAAAAAAAAAGGATTCCCCGCAAAGAGGTGCAAAAAAAATGAAGTCAGCAAAGTAACCTATACAATTTATACATTTTTTTTTTTTTTTTTTTTCTGCAATTTCTACATGCAGACGTATCTATATCAATTATCCTTGGACTTTCTCTTTATGTCTTTTCTCTGTTGTTGTTTGTTCTTTCTTCTTTCGGTTAGTTTAGCTCTACGTAATGTCTTATATGCCAAGTAGGATTTGTCAATCTTGGATACCTCTATGGACTCATAGAATGGCTTGGTGTTTCTTTCCTTCTTGAATATGCTACGTAACTGTTTCTTCTTTCTTAATTCTTTAACTACATCTTTGCTGCTGTCCGCTGGTATTCCTCCAATTCCGTTTTTAATTTTGGAATTCTTCAAGGGGATCATAACTAAGCATTGCTTATATTTCTCCAACCTCTCGATGTTTTTTTTTAATGTTTCTTCGCATCTATTTTTTCTCCTTTTGTCAACACAGATTCCTATGCTTTGGGCTGCAAGGGGATTTAACTTGGCTCCCTACAGAGGTGCAAAACGTGGTGGGAGGGAGGATGTACAAAAAGCATAATTAGCATTAGGAGGCGAGTTAAAAATAAAAAGGGCATTGGGCAAAGTAAAAATCTTGTACACTCATTCATTACATGAGACTGTATAACAAATGGAATAAACGCAACTGCTGTACTATGCATACGGCACACTGTTATACGCAACACCATTTCATGGTAGAATATAAAATACATACCTTCAATTCCTCAAGGGTGAATCCTCTTCCAAGTCTTGATCTGAAATTGTACCTTTGAGTTGGGCACTGCACTATGGGGTGCAATTTTTCAATGGGAGTTCCTCCATTTTCCTTTCTTCTCTTTTCCCTTAACAATCTTCTTTTCTTCTTTTTTATGTTCTTACTGAAATTTACTCTTACATGCCTTTGCCACCATTTGTGCAGGTGTACATTTGGCAATACGTTATTGTGTGACACCATTTTGGAAGGTTACTCTTGGAGCGATACTCAGGCGAAAAAAAGGGGCTGATTTGGAAAGGGGGGGGAGGGGGGAAAAAATGAACAGTGAAGCACTATGTGAATATATTTGTTTTATTCTACGGGGACACTGCTGAATTTGCGAGGTGGGCACGCCGTTATGAAACTTTTCATCCTCGTTATGCAAGCTCTTTAGCACATATCTGCATAAACAGCACGGAACAGTTAAATGCCGTTCTAATCGCTCCCGTTAGAAGCGCATAACGTGTGCCTCGGTTTACATCTCTCGAAGTTGAAATGGCTTCGAGGACCTCTTTGTACCCATTCGGGATGACTGAAACGCTCTCAAATGGGAGAAGCATTTCGCGCAGCATCCTCGCAACATCCGCGCAGTATCATCACACGATCATATGCCCTTTTAAATAACCTCAACTTTGGCATTCCTTTTACATCTCCTCATAAAAGATTTTACCTTTGCTTAAAACTTCCTCGCGGGAAAATTGAAAAACTGCAAGAGCTAAGGAGAGGAAACAGTTGTTCAAAAATTTACTCAGTGGGAAAATAAATCGCAGAAAAGGTACGAAGCAGCCAAATTCTGATGCCGCGGAATGATGGAAAAGAAAAAAAAAAAGGAAAAGAAAAAAAAAAAGGAAAAGAAAAAAAAAAAGGAAAAAAAAAAAAAAAAGGAAAAAAAAAAAAAAAAGGAAAAAAAAAAAAAAAAAAAAAAATTATACCTTTATCCTGATCCTTATTATAAAAATTTCAACAATAATTAAAATGAAAATTGTATCACGCGATAATAAAGTTACTATTTATTTTTGCACGACGACCATTTATTTGTTCCTTCACGTCAGAGAAGTGCCGCTTCTGCCCTTTAAAGTGATACAGCGCACATGAGGATCGAATATTTCTTTGTGAAGAGGAAATACGCGTATTAAAAAAAATATTGCGCAGTTTTGTTTTGCTGCTTTCGCAAAAAGCGTCAATGGTGACGTGTTGCTTTTTTATACATAACTTCTTTGCATATGTACGTACTTGTAATGGCGGCGTGGGTCCCTTTTCCCGCCCTTTGTTTTTGGAGTGATTAAAGTGGGGGCGCCAAAACGTTACTGCACAGCGTGGTTCCCTCCAAATAATAATTGCCCTATCGCGTCGCGCACAGCATGTTAAATTGTATTATATATTATGATACCGTTCTCCGTGGGGGTGGCGTCATTTTTTAAGCCCCCACTTCAATGTGCTGCACAGTTATTTTTTACATAGGGAAATGGAAGAAAACGGTTTCACAAAAAAAACAGCGCTAGGATCCAACTCAACCCAACCAGCAATAAAAACCTGTTGTGCGTTCGCACGTACCTACGCTGCATACTTCATATGTACCTGCAGCACGGGACGCTACTGAACTAATTATTTATATAAATCTCGGGCTTGTAAAGGCGTCGGCAGAGTTTTACAAATGGAACTATGTTAAACATATCGCATTGAATTGAGGATCCCCCATACCGTTTTTAACGAGCCACGCGTAAAAATATAACATTGTACACCGATTTAAAGGTATATAAAAATTATATATGCATATGCGCTTGGCATAGCTCCTCCCTCTGCTGTTTTTAATTCCCCTCCTTTCCTTTTTTTTTTTTTTTAAAAAACATATGTAAAAAAAAAAAATAATTAAATAAATAAATCGCAAAACAGATTAAGCAGTAAATTAAATCAACAAAAAAAGGGATGATACATCCATGTACCACTATTTTGAGGAAAACACAACTTTTCCTTTGAGGAGATAAAAATTTTCTTCCCTTAAATTTTGTTTGAACCCCCAAATTTAAGTTAACCTTTCACGGTAAGAACACGTAACCGTCAAATTAGTGACAACGCGATATAGGATAAAACTTACTGCGTCATTTGTCACTTTTTTCTTCTAATGCCGACGTCGTCACGCATTTACGTGGCCGTATGTACTCGTTATGACGTATGTCCCTGCGGCCGCGTGTGAAGTTGGCGTCGTTAGTTTGCTTCACGCCCCCCCCCAACGCACGATGTTACCTTGTATTAAACTTTTCTTTACCTCTATTTCCATTCGCATTACAGATAAAAATGACGACTAAAGTGAAGAGAGTTCAAACCTTTGGAAAGAAGGTAACCACACGGAGTGTAAAAGGAGGAAAAAAAAAAAAAAAAAAAAAAAAA